GAGTCTGGATACCAAACATATACAGAAAAGCCAGTCACAAATAGCATATACCTAGAATCCCAGCCATGGGGAGGCAGAGAGAGGTAGATTCCTGGAGGTCATAGGCCAGCCAGCCTAGTCAAATAGGTGAGCTCCCAGGTTCAGTGAGAGACCCAATCTCAGAAAAATAAGGTAGTGACACCAGCCAGGGTCTGTGAGTTGATGTCTGTGGCTCCCATTACCACTGAGGACCATGTGGATACCTGTGGCTCCTGTTACCACCAAGGGGCTACGTGGATACCAGAGGTCTGGTCAGACACCTGAGACCATGTTGGTGTCCTAGGGTCATGCTGCTGCCAGGACATACTGATCTGGGTGGCCAGCACTGCCACCAGGATCACAGTGATATCGTGGCCTGAGCTGCAGCCAAGGGCCACGTGTGTGCCTGTGGTCCTGTTGCACCTGGGGTCTGTGTTGATCTCCGTGGCCCATGTTACTACAGGGGACGACAGAAACCATGTGTGTTGAAATGTTGAAATCATAGGGCCGTGCTGAGCTGGCACTCCCCTTAATGGCCCTGGAAAAGCTGCCCTTTCCCTCACTGGCCACTGCAGCAGAAGAGCTAGCCCCACCCCTCACCACAGGAATGGGAGTGCTGACTCTGATAGCATGGATGTAGAAGAGGTGGCTCCGCCTCTGGGAGTACGGTCCCAGCAGCCTGTTATGAGCAAATCAGCTACCACCCAGACCCACATTCGAGGCAAGTCATAGATGGGGGTAAATGTTGGGGTGTGACTTTCGGGAGCATGTGAAGGGACTGGCCCTGTGGAACCACAGCCACAGAATCTCCATTAACTCAGGGCTACAGCAGGATATCCAAGAGAAGTTTGGGTAAGGATCCAGCATTGATGGTGTACAAGAAGCCAAAGGCCTTGAACCTGACCAACAATACATTACTTGCAATGAACATTTGCAAGTAAAGCACAACACACTGCAGCTCCCAGTGCCACTAAGTCAGTGAAGAGGTGTTGGAGAGGTGGAAAAGATGGAGGAGCAAAACGTGTTTCTTGTTTTTTTGCTTTGTTTTGTTTTTAATTATTTTTTATTTTCTTTAGGGGGATGCTATACGGGTGAGGGGCAGATACAGAGGGACTGGGAAATGAGCAGGATTGCAGTACGTGATGTGAAATTCCAAAACTGATTAGTTTTAAAATGTTTTTAAAAAATATGTTTAAAAAAAAATAAGGTGAACCGGGTGGTGGTGGCACACACCTTTAATCCCAGTGCTCAGGAGGCAGAAGCAGGCGGATCTCTGTGAGTTCGAGACCAGTCTGGTCTACAACAGCTAGTTTCAGGACAGCCTCCAAAGCCACAGAGAAACCCTGTCTAAAAAAACCCAAAATAATAATAATAATAATAATAATAATAATAATAATAATAATAATAATAATAATAATAATAATAATAATAATAATAATAATAATAATAATAATAATAATAATAATAATAATAATAATAATAATAATAATAATAATAATAATAATAATAATAATAATAATAATAATAATAATAATAACAATAACAATAATGTGGTGAATTGTTAAGAATAGCATCTAACATTGACTTCCACCCTCTATCATGCATTCACACAAATGCTCATGGACCCACACAAGACAAACATATACATATGTATACATGTACATACACATACACACACAGAAGGATGTACATACACATATAACAAACATACACATCACAAAGCAAATCTAACCTTCTGTTAACTCCCAAAGTTTGTTTCATGGAACCTGAGTATAGGGACAGAGGTTTTTCTCTATGAGAGCCTGCCTTGTGTTCCCTAGGATGATATACCATGCACATATATTCATATGGTTTCAAGTATATATACTTCTGTAATAATACTGCTCCTGCTGAATATATCCATTCTTGGCCAAAGCTCTCCCCCTGCAGAAACACAATGACTCTCTTAGAGGGGAAAAATTTCAAATGCATGTCAGTTTTGTGGCCTTGCCACTGCTCATCAATCACATATCAATTCTTAATAAAACCTGAGGGTAATAAAATTATAGGAATAATAATGGAAGATGAAATTCTATCCGGCCTGTGTCTTGCTTAACTAATGAGAATTTTCATCCAGTGTTTTGCTCCAATAATATTAAAATATCACAATCAGCCTTCCATAATTGGATTTACTATGCTAGGAGAATTGTATTGATATTTAAATCCTATAATCCAAAGCCATCAGAAGCATACACCTTCCAGTCGATGCTGACAGTGGATTACCACTAATATGCCTCAACTACATACTTCCTCCAAATTATCAAATTTCAACAAGTACCTTAATATGAAAAAACCCTTGAATTAACATGATTTTTTAAAAACTTCAATTGGCCCCGGAAGGAAAATGAAAGCTTCTCAGGTTCTAATATAGTCAAGGATTAAAAATAAATTTATAGGCATTCTGGTTTTCAGTGAGTAGCCTGGCTAGTACTTCCTAAAGCGAAGTCTCTAAATTGTATTTGAGAGATCAGTCTGAGATCTGTTTCTCTCGTGAGTATGTGGAATAAGTAAATGTGAAAGCATCTCCAGCAATCCCTCAGGCCCGGAGCATTCGTAACTAAACACCACCCTCCTCTCCTCTGGTTCTGTTTCCAGACAACCTCCCCTGTGGGACAGAAGAGCAGCAGGCACACAGCTGAGTCACCTCCCAAGACAACCTGTGACACAAAAGCAGAGACAACCAGGCCAGAAGCTGCCTGGGGAGGTGTGCCCACCTAGGTAACAGCATCACACAGCCACTGACCCCGTCAGTCACCCCTGAGTATCAATAGGGCTCTCAAGTCACTCTGAGTGGTCCATGTGACTGCCACTCTTCCACTGTCCCCAGGAAGGAACTCTCCAGGCTTGATGTAACCACCCTCGCCCAGGGTAGCTGAAGAAAAAGGCTCCCACTGCAGGCAGGAAGGTAAAGCGGCCCAATTGGGGGCCTGAGATCTTGCACATCCTAATCCTAGCCTGATTCTCTCCCTTTCTGTGATATGAATGCAAACCACTGCACTGAAAACACTGGCGAGCTGAGGAAGGAAAAGCCAGCTGCTTTGCAGGGTGTGGGGGGAATAGTTTAACACAAGGGTAACAGCAGTGTGCAAACTGACTGGAGGAAACCTTTCCCTAAGGGTATCGCAGCCAGAAGGCCCACCATTCACATTTCCAACAGTATCCTGAGGAAATAAATCCTCAGAGTGTTAAAGATGCATGTAGGAAGATGTCCAAGGCATCGTTAATTATTCATAACTTTATGCCAAGAGCCTAATGTCCATCAATGGGGAGACCCTACCGCCTGGAAATAGCCACAGAGTGGAGCCCTCTGCACCAGTTAAATTCACTGAGAGAAGCGTAGTAGCCTCTGGAATCAGGTGGGCCCTGCTCTATGGTCTTCCATTCTGGGCTCATTTAATCTCTCCCATGTCCCTGTCTTGGTTTTGAGTTTCAGTTTCTTGGTTTCCTAAGACTGGATCTCAGTATCAAACTTTGGCTAGTCTTCAGCCCATTCTGAATTCTAATCTGGCCTTGAGCTTTTTTTCTTTTTTCTTTTCTTCTTTTATTAGTTCAAATCAGGAACAAGCTTGCTTCACATGTCAATCCCTTCTCCCTTCCCCTCCCCACCCCCCCAACCTCCCACCTGCCCCTAGCCATCCCCCCCCCCCTCCCCAGGCAGAATAAGCCCTCAAAAGGGGCTCCCCAAAGTCTACCACATCATCCTGGGCCAGGCCTAGGCCCTTCCCCATGTGTCCACTGGCCTTGAGCTTTAATGTTCTTCTCTAGATGAAGTTTCTGTCCCACCTGGTCCCACAGCCATTTAGTCCAAAATAAACACACGGAGACTTATATTAATTGTAAACTGTTTGGCTGAAAGCTTAGGCTTCTTACTGGCTAGCTCTCTCTTAATTATTAACCCATTTCTATTGATCTAAGTATCTCCACGTAGTCTTGGTTTACAGGAGACTTCCTGGAATTCTGTCTTCCTAGTAGCTATATGGCGTCTCCCTGGCGGTTCCTCTCTGCCTCCCTCTCCCCAGCATTCTCCTAGTCTGGTAGCCCTGCCTATACGTCCTGCCTGGCTACTGGCCAGTCAGCATTTATTCATCAACCAATTAGAGAAATATATATTCCCAGCATACAGAACATTCCCCAGCTTTCCTCTCCTCCCTCAACCTCCCGAATACTGGCGTTACAGGTATATAGGCACCAAGACAAAAGGCCAACGAGGAGTAGGGGTTTTGCATTCATTTTACAGATAGGGAAACTAGAGAACACGTACGTTATTAACTCTTCGGAGTCAGTGACTACTTTTAAAAAAAATGGGGGTGGGGGTGGTCTCATGAAGGCTGGCCTCAAACTCACTGTCAAGCTTCCAACTTCTGATCCTCCTGGCCTGCACTAGATAGAGTGCTGCTGTTACAGACATGCACTACCACACCCAACTTATCACTTGCTGTGAATTGAACCCAGGGCTTGTGCTTGCTGGAAAATCACTTTGCCAACTGAGCTACACACCCACCCAGCCCAAGAGTCAACAACTACTCCATCATGTCTCCATGATTTGAACTCAAGCAAAGCTCTAAAGTCATTCTCCTAACCACTAACACAATAGGCCTAGTCAGAAAAGTAAGACAATTGTGATACACTGTATAGCAAGGCCCTGCTTTGTAAAATATGCCTGAGTTGATTATAGAGTGAAAAAGAAATCTTTGATAACATACACCAAAATGATGTGTGCATTTTTTCTGGGTGATAGAATTTGGCATGATTCTCGCTTTTGACTCTGCATTTGTCAATATTGTGTAAATTTCTTGAAGTGTGTTAAGTCTTATAAAATACTTGGGAAACAGTTACATCAACATGGAAAATATAAAAGGGCATAAGCAGCCTTGGTTGGTAGTTGAGCAGGAAAGGAAAGAGACACAGACAGGAGGGGGATTTATAGCATGAGGGGAACTTACAGACTTGCCAGTGGTAGAATCTTCAGCTGGGGTATCCCTGTGTCCTGAGCAGAATTTCAAGCTGCTTTAATTCATGTAAAACTGCTTTATCCCAAGGGCTACCTGGGAAGAGAGAGAGCAAAAGGCAGTGTAGAGCTTGCCCTCGGAGCTTATAGGAGTAAATTACAAAGCAAACAGGTAAATAAGGAACTGAGTAGAAGGTAGGTGCCAGTCATTTCAGAGGGCGGGATAGTCCCTGCTAGAGGAGGATAGGAGTACTGGAGCCAAACCTTGAGGAGCACAGAAGGTATGATCAAAGGACACAGAATGGAAGGCAGCTCCACATGGAAGAGGAAGCTCATGCCAAATAAGGGAAGAGGATAGACCGGATGGGTAGGAAGAACAGGAAAGCATGGAGTTCAACCATAATGGAGCCATAAACTCAGAACACAGGTTTTCCTCTTAAAATGTCCAAAGCACTCCACCTGTGTGGGTCAACCCCTTCCTGAGCTAGGATGAGGGATGTCCCAGGGAGAGGGAACTGGGTTACCAGTAGCCATACAGACTTCTCTGAAACAAGAAGTCCATAGTGCACACCTCCAGAAACTTCTATCCATAAGAATCAAGTCCGAAATGGAAAAAAAAAAATCTCCAGGCATAAGTGCTGTTCCTTGGATGTCCAGAGTAGAAAGTGCCCCTTGGGCACCTCAGTCCACAGGAATTCCTGGGATTTGAGACAGCTAATAGCGAATTCTAGGAGAGCCATCAAAAATGCATGCAGGAACAAAAACACGAACTAGCTTCAGTAATTCATCCCTCTTTTCATAGTCTCCTCTCGCCACAAAAGGCAGCACAGGGGGCTGCAGAAGAATTTTAGACAAGGTATATCCTGACTTTTACTAGCACCAACTGAAACCGAGTAATTCCTTCCATTAAAACAGGCTTGGGGTAGTATTAACAATATGGCAACTGCAACAATGGACACTCTGGATAATCCGCAGCCCCATAGGAGTTACTGCAGGCTCCACAAAATACCACTTAGGCTCATAATTACTTTGAACTCCCAGTAATTACATACCTACTCCTAAGTCTTTTATAATGATTTCATAAAGAAGCACATATATTGCTCAACCATAAATCAGTTTTAGTATTTTGATAAATGCATTTCAATAGGCTGGGAGTTCCTTTATATCCTGTGGCTTTTCTGTTTTGCATTTTGTTTTGCATTTTAAAACACTGTTCTGGAAAATGGTCCATTGCTTCCCCTATGGCTACAAGGGCCCATGGCACACACACAAAAAAAAAAAAAAAAAGCCTGTGACTCTGATTAGTAAGTTACATCTTATTGCTCTTGTGTCAACCTCCATTGCTTCTATCTTAGAGTTTAAGTTGTTCTCTTTGTTTGCTAGCTCCTCAAACTCTTACCACAAGGCTCTTCCTGACCATCCTTATTCACACCAGTGAGGTGTGTGCCTGCCTCAGGGCCTTTGCACTTGCTGGTCTCTCCCAGAAAGCTCTAGTCTCAGGTAGTACAATCTACACTTGCTTCCCCACTTCCTTCAGATTACAAGTTCAATGACGTGACCTTTGATGGGACTTCTTTAGCTTATCCAATCTAAAATGTCACTAAATAGGGCTGGAGAGATGACCCAGGGGTTAAGGGCACCGGCTATTCTTCCAGAAGACCCAGGTTTAATTCCCAGCACCCACATGGCAGTTCACAACCATGTGTAACTCCATCCAGCTTCAGAGGATCCAACGCTCTGTTCTGGTATCCTTGGGTATCAGACACAAACATGGTAAACAGACACACACACGGGCAAAACACCCATATACACATACAAAAATATTTTTTTAAGTTATAAAATAGATAAATAAATAAAAATAAAATAAAACATCACTATCTTCTCAAATTTCTATTTCCCTCATTTTTGACTTATATTGACTTATTTTTAATCATTAGCATTTGTCACTCCTCAAAATATTCTTAGAAATCAGGCTGGCTAGATGGTTCAATATGTAAAGGTGCCTACCACCAAACCTAAAAACCTGAATTTGATCCCTGGAACCCATGTTGTAGAAAAAAAGAACCAATTCCCACAAATTGTCCTCTGATCTCCATGACACAACCCATGGCACACATGTGTGGGTGTGTGTCAAATGCATATACACTCACACACACACACTAAATAATTAAAAATGTAATTAAAAGGTATAATACACATACATACACATAGAAACATGTTTTCTATTTCTGATCCTCCTGGCCTTTATCTTGTTCATTAGAATTCTTAGTCTCCTGTACCCAACACAATACAAGTGCCTACACCCTCACCTGACACATAATAGTTTCTGAAAAATTATTTGCTGAACCCAGTGACAAAAATTTTTGGTTAACTGGCACTTTTCACACAGCTTGGCCATAAGCTACTGCCATTCCACGTTAAATTTTAAAGTGCTCTTGCCCATTAAGTTAAATGAGAGAAAAGAAGAAAAACAAATCACCACCAATGTACTTTTGAAATTACACACACACACACACACACACACACACACACACACACACACACACTGAATCAAGTGTATTGTAAAATAAATACAAGCAAGTAAATGAAAAATCAGTACTAGAGAATAAAATCAATAAAAACACACTGGGCATTCTGTAGTCTGAGTGAAACTGGTTGATAAAATCATCACACAGAATCCACCTGGCACATGTTGAATGGAAATGAGCAATGCTTAGATTCGTGGCTCTGATAATAAATCACCACATGGCCACGACTTCATATAACCTACAGATGATGAAAATGTAGGACAGCATTTTGAGGCACACCACAGTGAAGCAGCAATGCCATGGGACGATCCAACACAGCAGAGCTGGCATCACAGGAACCCAAGAGCACTTCATCCCATTCTGTCTCCAGAAGGGTTTTGTTTTAATAGCAACAACTGCTTCTCTTGGAATAACTCACAAAACCTCACTAAGACTGGATTCCTCCAATTTTCTTTAAAAAAAAAAAAAAAATGTAGTCAAGGGCTGGGGTTGTGGTTCAGGGTGGACTGCTAGTCTAGCATTCACAGGGGCCTGGATTCAGTCCTCCACATACCACACACACAAAAACTTGTAAGTCAAGGATATATCAAGTACTAAGTGACATCAATTGCATAACTCTTGATGAAAGATGTTCTCAAGTCCTTCAGATATGAAACACACACACACACACTAAAACCTCCCTGACAGCCTCACAGTAACACAGCTGTGTGGCTATGTGTCTATGTGTGTGTGTGTGTGTGTGTGTGTGTGTGTGTGTGTGTATGGTCAGAAGTCAACTTTGGGTATTTTCTTCAGTCACTGTCTGTCTTGTGTTTTGTGGCAGGGTGTCTTATTAAACAGGAACGCAACAATTCAGCTAGGCCTGCTGGCTAGTAAACACCAGAATCTGCTGTCTCCACCTCCCCGATGCTGGAATTACAAGTGTGCACCACCATGCCCACCATTTTTATACATGGGTTCTGGAATTTGAACCTATGTTCTCCTGCTTGCTTAGCAAACATTTTACCAACTAAACCATGCCCCAAGCTCCACAACACAGCTCTCTGAAGTTATTTTCTATAATCTCCTTCTCTCTTTTCCTGCCATTCCAAACATGTTTTTGCTGAGGGCATCTCCAAGTAGCCAAACCCTGAGCCAGTGTACATGGTGTACAGGACAGTGGCATTTGTTACTCTGGATCTCCCTAGGCCCTGCTATTCCCTATCACTAACACCATTCTGAACTGTCCTTCCCACTTCTCTAATGACACTTATAAGCAAGTCTCTAGGAAAGTCTACTTCCTCTGCTCAAATTTTAAATCTAAGACTACAAATTAAGTACTTTCAGGGACCAAGCAGATGTCCAAGGTAAGAGGAGGAGGCTCCCTGGCCACTGTGAGAAGCAGGCTATGCTAGCCCATCCAAAACGCTGAGCTCATTCCAGCTTATCACTGTCTCTCATCCATGGGTCTCAGGAAGTCACATTATCCAATTTGTTAGAAACACTCACAAATTTTATTTTTTACAATTTTTTTTAAACATTGGAAACTATTGTTGCCCATTCTTTAAGATTGCGTGAGTCAAACCAAAGATATCCAAGGCCTGGAAACAACCTCCAGACCACCACATTGTCTTCTCTACACACTAGTCATTCCCAATGACCCTTTTCTGTACCCCCCCCCCCGCCCCATTCTTCTCCCTGGCCAGTTTTATCTAACTCCCATCTAGAGACAGAATGTAGATTTATAGCCTCTGCATTATCTCTCTGTCTGTGTCTCTTTCTCTCTCTGTCTCTGTCTCCTGTCTCTCTGTCTCTCTCTCTCTGTCTCTCCCTCTTTGTCTGTCTCTCTCTCTCCCTCTTTTCCTCCCTCCTCCCTTTCCCCGTTTTCTCCTCCCCACTCGCTCTCACACAACACACATTCTGAACCTCTGAAATGCTCTATTGCCCTTCTCTATTTGAATAACCTACTGGGCCTTACACACATCCAGATCTTCCATGGGTTCTCTACTCTCACCACACCTGAATCTCAATTTAGACATTCAGAAATCATGCTGGCTAGATGATGATCCACATCATCATCCACACCACTGACACGGAGCCAATGCCAAGGATAAGCACAGTCATGTTCCCAGAATCTCTCACATCTCCACCCTTCTCTGACCCTCCTGCCTCTGCTTTCCCTCAGATATTCTGTATCTTTCTGCTGGATGACCACAGTAGACTCCGACTGTGCCCCTTGCCTTCTGCCCATCTTCCTTCCTCACCCCCAAGTTGAAACCAGGGTTGGATTTTGTTACAGCCACACACAGTAGGCTCTTCATCCTTCAGGATGAACACGAGATCCAAAATGTTTAAGGGGAAATGCACCTTCCCCACCCAGTGGGTAAGTGGTATTGGAAAAACTGGCTAAGCTATCTTGGCCTCAGTTTCTTGATTCTTAAAGTACAGGTACAGAATGAACACCAACCATAGCTCACGTAGAACAGCTAGGAAGACAAAAGAGGTGATAGACGTAGAGTCCTCTGTGCTTGCAACATAATAAATGATCAGCACAATGCTAGACATTGTCATCATTCTTCACCCATCGTCCATACCTGCCACAACACAGCTCATACCCTAGGACTAAGGAAGAACTGCTTGGAAATTTGCCAAAACTCCTCCACTTCTAAGAACTCCAGGTCTCCACACTTGCTTTGTCTGCTCAAAGTGACCTCCAACACTCAGCTCCATCCTGTTCTCCCTGACATCAGGCTCCTCCCC